CACCTCACTTTGTTAGAATAATAATCCTTGCATTTAATATAGTCGAGATGTTGCAGAGATGTCTCAAAGTGCTTCATTGTAAAGTGTAGTGACTGATCATTTATAAGTGAACGTGGTAGCTAATCTGAGTACAGCAATGTACCACATACAGCCATGAAGTGCATTATCTGGGGGATTGTTTGCCAGGACACCGAGAGAAATTTCCTTCTCTTTTCAAATTGTTCCATAGAACATTAACATCTACCTGAATAGACAGACAGGATCTTGGTTTAACGTCTTATTTGAAGGCAAGTTTCTCTGATGCTTTCCCCAGCACTGAACTGGAGTGTCGACCAAGACTGTAAGCTCAAAGTCTTGACGTGCCATAGCCTTCTGACTCAGAGGCGAGGGTGCTACCAACTGAATCAGGCTGACACCTGTTGCAGAATGAAGAAAAAGTTACTATCGGACAATGTGCATGGCGAGCAGCCAGAAGAACCCAGACAAAATAGGCAGAAGAACCCAGATGAAACTGGTCAGATCAGTTTTGGGCAAAGGAACAAAACAACTCCGAATATGGATTTGAGCAGGGTCTTGCCGGGTCAGCAAATGAGTCACGTGATCAAAGGTCGCCTGTGACTATAAAACTTTGGCGAGTCTTTTGTTCGGGGGATCGACTCCGGAGACCAACTGATCAGCAGACTTTACATTTGAAGAACTATCGGATAACCCCTGAGTCTAGGACGAGGAAATATCCATATTGAAGAAGGAACATCATAAACCCCTACGTTTGGGATGAGGAAAGAGAGAGACATCCAGATTTGAGGAAGCTTGGTCAGCTCCCAATCTCGGGTAATATCGCTTGCTTTTATTTGTAGAGGTTACCGGGTGACCAAAGGCAAGGTGATTGTGATTTCAATAAATATTCTTAAAAGACTATTAGTACTTTGATTGATTGGAAAGGGATCTGTCAACACACCTCTGCTTAAAAAATGATGGAAATCTGCCACTGACACTAGCTGTTTTGAGAAGATGGGCTGCTCTACCAAATGCTACTGATGGTAACACTCCCCATTCGGGCATCAATCCTCCATATTGGAAGTCTGTATCTTCAAAACATGAGGAATGCCCCAAAACAACACTTGCATTTGATACAGTGACTTAACACACCAAAACGTCTTAAAGTGTTTCACATATAATTGCTGTTAAGTGCAGTAACCTGTGCACTTACGGGCAAATGAAGCAATCAATTTGCACACAGGAAGATACCCCAAACAGGCAGGATGTGAATGACCAATTTATTTGGGCAATTGTTAATCAAGAGACTGGGAAAAAGTTCCTTCTCCTTTCAAATATTGTAATTGGATGTCTAACATGGGTTTCAGTTTAATATCCCTCACCTGAAAAACGACACCTCTATGGTCACGCTCCCTCACTACTGTGTCAGCCTGGAACTTGAGCTCAATCCTGACATGAACGATTGACCATGACCCATTAACAGGAGTACTTCCAACTAAGCCAGGCTGGCAGCAATACAATCCAACTTTCTAACAAAAAAATAACAAATCTCTAAAATTACTTTCAAGGCCATTAAGCTTTGCAATGAAAATACTCATTTCTATAATCACAACATATACTACCCATTTAACTCATATTTAATAACCTTAAATGAACTGGAAATAAATCAATATTAACAATTCTGAAAACAATGTCTGATGCAAAGTACTCTAAACCGGCTAAAGCAATAGTGCCTGCAATAATCTTCCAACATCAGTGCAGTACAAAGGGAGGATCCAACTCAAGATTGAATATGTTACAGGTAGAAAGAACTATTCAAAGACTTAAAACATGACTATCTGCTACAGTTTGTTTTAAGCAAACCCATAAAATTAAACGTTCTGAAATAGTTTTACACATGTATTTTTTCGGTTTGTATAATTATTGATTGGGAAAACAGGAGTCATTATAAAGATACAATTAAGATAATGCTGTGCTTATGAGCTCAACTGAGGCGGAATCACAATGGGAAGTGGTGTTAAGTGATCCTAAAACTGATGGAGAGGTGACCGATGGAGTGGAAGAAGGTTACATGAGGATGACAGTAATGAACTGATGTGATCCACATGAATTAACACATAGCCTGGTATCAGTCTTTAAACACAGTGGCCAGTTTGTTCTGACTTTTCATTTGGGTTTTCTCATTATAAGTCTCAGTGAACCAAGCATTACATTTAGTATACGTGAGAAAGCATAGAACAAAGGAATTTAGTCTATCATGCCTACTCCTTCCACAGCCACACCAAACCTTCCCATCACAGACCCAATCACCCACTCATACCGTCTTACGTGAGAAGAGTGTTGTATAGAATCTCCTTGAACTGCAAAGACAATCAAACTAAAAGTGCAAAATATTCATCCGTCCCCACTTCTCCACTTTTCATCCCTGACCTCCAGATATCATCACAGCTCTGTTCAGGACAGAAATTATTGTGTGTTTGTTCATTTCAGTATGCACCTCTGCTTATATCCTTTTATACTGCTCTCAAGCGGATACTTATCTAGTCAGTTATTTTATTGTTAGAATATAATTTTCTTCATAGTCATTGTCAAGAAGTGGGGTTTGAAAGTAGGATATTTGAAATTACAGCAAGAAACTGGAAAAGAAACCAATCATGGTCTCTTCGATGCCTAGTGCTTATGAAGTAACTAGGCTATTATCACAGCAGGGACTATTGGCACTTGTGCAGGATGCGAGAGAAAACAGTTAAAATGAGGGGGTGGATACAGTGCAGAAGAGTCATTTAGAAAGGCTGAGATTTTCAAGATGCACAGAACTCTGCTTCATTTTTTTATGAAGGTCACAATTTGTCAGCAGTCTGTCTCTTTATTGCCAAAACAGGTTTCCAAATGATCCCTTTACAAACTCCACTCTAAAGATCATCAGGCTCACACAAAGCTTACAAAGGAAGCTTTTTTGTTGATTCAAAAGCAAGCCAGTCATCTATGTTAATTGTGTTATTACTCTAAATTTACATTGTGTAAAATGCAAGCACACAAATCTCACCTTTAATGGCTTGTGAACAACTGTTTACCTGGTTGTTTTCCCCAGTATAAAATCAATCCTTTTACACCAGTTATTGCAAGAATTATAAATGAAATGCTACTAAGCAGTTATCAGTCAATTATTTGCACACATCTATACTTATGCTGTTGACTATCGTCTAACTTCAAAGGTTTATAATCTGTGTAATCAGAACAAAAGTCCACCTTTTAAGAGTTATAAAAAATGCTAAATGGGATCGAGAGGGTAAACCCTGAGGAATTTTTTCAGATATGCCAAGGCAGAAGAATATTTGCTGACTCTCTTTCAGAATGACCTATTTCAATGCTGTGCGTTTCTATGGTTTTAGTCCAGAGCAATATTAAATAAGGCACCAGGTAGTATTTCTTTATGCAGAGGGTAATTAATTGTTGAAACAGGTTACCAGGGAACAGGAAAGATGGTTGAGTCCAGGACTTAAAAAACAACTTAATTTAATGCTGAAATAAATAATCCTTGCATTTGATATAGTGCTTTAACACATCACTCAGATGTCTCAAAGCGTTGCACAGAATATATTGTAAAGTGTGACAGTATATTTTGTGGGCAAAATGCGGTAGCCAATTGTACACAGCAATGTCCCACAAACAGTCGTGGTTTTGCCCTGCCCAGGAAGTGGAAGGACAATAGGGTAGCTATTTTGGAAAGAACCAATCTTGTGAAAAAATCCAGTGTGAACATTCACCCCTCATGAATTGCCAGTATAAAGTCTGTCAAAACAAGAAAATGGATCTGCTGTGTTGCTCATGTTTAGAATACATTATGTCTCCATCCTGATATTGAAATCCATTTCTCCCATGCACATGATCTGCCAAATCTGAAGAGGTTACATAAATCTATTTTCTTCATTAATATCAATCTATCTAAAAGCCCTTCTAACACATATAAATTTGACAAAAAAGGATTCAATGCAAACTTAAATAATATGAAGGTTACTAAATGACTTAGTACTGTTTGGCAAATTGGTTTATGAGGAAGGCAATTTAATAGAGCTTGTTGAATGTTTTTGTTTTGAAAGCTTGTGTGTTTTAAAGGCCTAGTCCCTGTTTGCAAGTTGCATTTAAAACAGTTCATGCTAAACTCTGACAATAAAGCGTTTCTGTGAAGTAGATGGTCGAAATTATTTGTAGATGTATAAGTGAACTTAAAACTTGCAACCAAACCTTCTTTGTTAAACTGTCCTTGCTGTGTCGTGCAATATAAATAGGGGCAAATTCAGGGTAATGTGGCAGAGACTGGAGTAATTCACAATTAGGTTTCAATGTAAAATAGAAGTTATCTAAACATTTTATTTATTTTATTTTTATTATATTGTGGAGTCCTGTAGCTCAGTGGTTAGAGCACTCGCTTTGCAAGTGAGAGACCTGAGTTCAATTCCAGGCAGAGGGCGAAACCTTGGGCAAGTTTCCTTACTCCACACAGAGCCTAATAATAATCCCTCCAAAACAAAACAATAATAATTGGTCATTTTCAATCTACGACTGTTTGTGGGACATTGCTGTGCGCAATTGGCTGCCGCGTCCGCCCACAAATATACAGTCAATTCACTTTACAGTGTGTTCTGTGAAGCGCTTTGGGACGTCCTCCCGACGTGAAAAGCGCTATATCAAATGCAAGGATTATTATTATTATTATTATTATTATTGTGCAAGGTGCTAAAACATTTTAGGTTGTTTATCATCAGCATAATAGGGGTTAATTCATCCCCTCACCCCATGAAATAATACACACCAGCAAAATCACTCTAAGCGGAATGATAATATGACAGAAAATAAACATGGAAATAACCGTAAAACTGAGTTTATTCTGTTGCAGAACAAGGCATCTCAATTTACCAAGTTTGAAGTCTGAGATTTTAACTTTTTTATATACATTTATTGAAATGTTAGTCCACTGAACAGCAATGATAAAGGAAACCAACCTTCTCTGTACGAGTCAGTTACTGTGTGTCCTCCAGATCTGATACATGATTCTCATTCTGAAATCAAGAGGCAAAAATATCAGCGGTTAGCAAATCACAAAAAGGAACACGTGGCGAATGGGGATGAATGCTTCATGTCCCATTTTTTTAAAGAAAAAAAGAATTGCACAGAATTATTACTAACTTTGTTATCTTTTGTAGTTCTCTGGGTTTTTAATTAATAAAATGGAAGTGCTGCTGATATTATTAGGCACATTGACTTCCAGTGGAATCAACATAGATTTACAAAGAATGATACAATGGCAAAGAATGGCATGGAAACAGCCCCTTTGACCAACTCAAAAGGGACTACACCCCTCCGATTTCCTTCTCCCTCATGCGTGGATCAGGTACAGTTGGAGCAACAGGGTTTGCTGATGTGCTTGAGTTAAAGGCAGAAAATTCCAATCACTGGGTTCTGAGGCAATATCAATGTGTTGTTTTGCATCCTGCTAACATCACCCAGGAGTGATATGAATGTTGTACAACCCTGATATAACCACAACTTAAGTAATTTTATCAACAGCTGGAATAGGTTATCAGGAAAGGAGACTGAAGTGAAGAGTCTTTAAATTCTTTAAAACACAGCTTGATGCTGTAACGGGAAAGTCGAATAAGTTTTCTAGGAGGGTATTCAATTCTTCACCGTACCTCTGATCACAGTGGTTACAAGCAGACGAAAAAAGCTTTTCAAACATTGTTACTTATACTTAGTCATTTTCTGCTCCTTCAGTACATTTTGAAAGCTGTCTGCAGAATGCCATGAAGTGAAGAAATGCTTATCTGTACTCTAAGGTTAGGCAAAATGAATTCAAGTCTGTACAAATTGAAGTTTTGCATGCAGTAATTTCTTTACGTTAACCCAGTCTCCTGCTGTAACTCTTCAGAAGTCTGATTTATCCTCTGAAGGATCAGTGAATTGAGGAAAAACTTCAGGAAAAAGTTTCCTTACTCCACACGCCTAATAATAATCCCTCCAAAAAAAAACCCAAAACAATAATAAAATTGGTCATTTTCAATCTACGACTGTTTGTGGGACATTGCTGTGCGCAATTGGCTGCCGCGTTTGCCCACAAATATACAGTCAATTCACTTTACAGTGTGTTCTGTGAAGCGCTTTGGGACGTCCTCCCGACGTGAAAAGCGCTATATCAAATGCAAGGATTATTATTATTATTATCCAGTAAGCAGTTGCATCACACACACCATGAGAGGCTTAGGGTCAATCGCTGTTTCTGTTGAGTTAACTGATCTCAACCAGTAAGAAGCTATCAACGTCTTTAGCTGCCCCGGATTAAGGAAGGGAAAATGAGACAAGGTTCCTATTCCTGATGCTAAAATTCTTCATGGTTTTAGACTTCATATCATTGTTGTAGCAATTCACATTGTCTCAAAATATAAGATTGTGCAGAATTTTGGCAAAAAAATCTTCAATTGAATTCAGCAGTGATCTGGCAGCTAGTTTTTCACAGTTCTTTTTAAGAAACCAGATGATTACACAGAACGTTACTACAACAAGATTACATTTGTATAGCACGGAAACAGTCCACTCGATCCATCTAGTCCGAGCCATTTTTATACTCCACAATGAGCCTCTACTTTCCTAATCTCCTTTCCCATACTCCTCCATTCCCTTGCAAAACATTCTAAGGCTCGGACCATGAGCAATTTTCAGGGCAGACAGGATTAGGTTTGGTGACCAGTGTTGAGGATATAACAGCCTCTCACTCCTGATTGTTCAAAGCAATTTGCTAACTGAAAATTCCCAATACTGTTACAATGAACAGTAACAGACTTTGAAAATCTGACCACATCAAAAGTGCTGTGGTACAATCTGTGTAATATGATACAGAGGCAATATCTGTAGGTTCTCAGTCTGAAAATGGTCCTGCCATAACTCTTCAGAGCTTTGACACTGACATTCTTTATTGGATAATTTAGAAGTAATTGCTGAATTATGTAACCTTGTAAGAGACTCAAATCAATTCATGCAGATCATACCAGTTCATTGCTGCCATCCTCATCGTAATCTTCTTCCACTCCATCGGTCATCTCTTCTCCATCCCCATCTGCATCAGGACCTCCTTCCACTGGATCCTCTGTAGAAGTTTCTGCATTCTCTGATATGGATTCCTCATGTGCAGACTCTGAATTTTCTTCAAGCTGCTTCTTCTGTGTCTCTGTGGAAAAGGCACACTTACTCAAATCATCACCTCCTAATGCCTCTGGGATTTTCAGAACATATTTCAACAGAATAGATAATGGGAGGAAAAGCACAGATGGCCCATTGCTGTAAAATTCATTTTGATTCTAGATTGCCTGATGTCTAGAATATGTAGCTGACTATCAATTGGGATATTTGTACTCCGTTGGAAGAAAGTACACAAAACAGATATGTTAAACATCATTTTCTATAATTTCAGCTGGAGAAAAATTCCATAATTCTTACAATTTTAATATGATTATATTTTTGAATAGGATACATCTAAGAAATTTCCTATTTGTTTTATGAACAAGTAAAGGTAGAAATAACTATCACAGGTTAAAGTTGAATAAAGTGAGGGAACTGAGGGAGTAGAAGTGGCATCCACTTTTGGAGGGAATAATCCCTCCAAAACAAAACAATAATAAAAAATTGGTCATTTTCAATCCATGACTGTTTATGGGACACTGCTGTGCGCAATTGGCTGCCGCGTTTTGCCCATAAATATACAGTCAATTCACTTTACAGTCTATTCTGTGAAACGCTTTGAGACGTCGAGAAGACGTGAAAAACGCTATATCAAATGCAAAGATTATTATTATTCTCTATTCTAGGTGAGCAGATAACTGTGGAAGTTGAATTTCAGTGAAAGGTATCTGGTGACATAGTGCATGAATTGAAATTCCTTGTGATTTGAGAGACTACGTGATCTTATTACATTCATTTAAAACATAAAATGTATATGACACAAGTGAATCTCAAGCCCACCCTAGAGACTGTCATGTGACATTTATAATGGTGTGCAACCGAACCTAACAAATGGAATATTCCAGTGCAGCACTGAGTGAATATCATCCAAGTAAGTGTTAAATACTGGAAACATTGAAATGTCTGTATATGGATCACATAAGTAGCAAGCTGTTGAAAGCAAATCAGATCATTCACTTGCATCACAATTGGGTTTGTCATGAGTGGAATAATAGATCTTTCCCGGCTCCACCATCCATGGTCAAGCCTTCAGCTACCAAATCCTTGTCTGGAACTGTCTTCCAATTCTTTCCGTCTTGCTACCTTTTCCCCTCTCTCTCTTTTCTGTCTTCACACATCTTTTCAACCATGCCTTAAGTGGTCTGGTCACTCTTTTCCCCGCTGGGTGCTCACTACTACATTTGCCAAGCACTTTGAGATAGTCTTGTACACGAAAAGCACCATTTAAATGCAGGTTATCATCATAATATGTTTGGAACTCAATAGCCTCCTGGAGAGCCTTGGATCAGGGAGGAAAACACAGAAATGCAGTCATATGTGCTTTAGTGAATCAGAACTATTATGTTCCATCAAATATCTCCTACTCATTTCTTAATGATGATAGAGTGCTTGAAGATGATAATCCTCCCCACCATATACATTCATTTGTAAACATTGGGAAATGAGATCACACCATGTCACCACTGCAGTAGATTAAATTCAATGTTCTTCTTCTCAGGCTCATTGAACACCAATATATGGAGTTTACCAAACTTGGACACACAGCTGTTGTTTTTCCTCTGGCATCTAGAGTAGCTTGCAAATAAGAGTTTGTCTCTGTGAAAATCTCATATGCAAATGTGTCCAGAATATTAGCCCTACACAATGTGAAGTACTTTATTCCCTTATTATTGATCCTTTAAGTTTATTAGCATGGCTTAGTTGGTACCACTCTTACCTTTCGACCGAAAGATTTGTGAGGCTTACTGGTGCAAACAGTTGCTATGTTTGTCTACACAATCACTACACATTACAGTATTTACTTGTAATGTGTTTTTGTTTGTGATAAGGTGATATAATATATCAGTTCTTCCTAAATTTTGTAATTATAGTAGTGTGAGTTTGCAATACTGTATTTAATGCAAATTTGATAGTACACCGGTAACTAGTCTTTCAAAGTGGGAAGATTCAGTGAGGAGGACAGTTACCTTTTGGGGATGTTTAAAGTGATGATTAGCATGTTAGTCGCTTGTTTGGGTCAAATTGTACTTTTCCTGAATCAACCAATTGCCCCAAATATTCCTTCTGTATTTTAGTGTTGCCACTCTTTTTTGTAAAATGTTTGGTAACTACATTTGTCCACCTATAAACCAGAGATATCCGATATCTAAAATTAATAAAATACATTTGGCACATGGCCTTGAGATTCAAAGAGAAACAAAAAGGTCTGAGGTCACTGGTGAAGTCTTGTGTGGAATCACAGTCACTTTTGGAGCAGGGCACATGGGAAACTGCCTCGATGTAGTGAAACACTTCTTTTGTGCTACTTTCCTGATCCTGCCAACAAATAAAGCCAGCTCATTTCACGTTACCTGAGGGTTTTGACTTCCTTAACGTGGATGGTGCAATCATTTTTCACAGTAACTGCAATAGAATTTGATATTTAGAAGCCAAAAGAATGTGAATCTGTAAACCTGAAAGGAGGTGAATCTGTAAAATTGCTTTTTATTTTAAGATCCACAGTAAGCCTTGGATTTATTCTTTAGACTTATGATTGATTTATTCTAAAGAATTCAATTCTTTTTCGATTTGAAAAGGTCTTTCAGAATATGTTCTGGGTCATGATATTACCTTCCCGGAATAGAAGTATGAATACGGTTTGTTTTGTAATCAGCCCACTGATAGAGCCACAAATGTCTCTGCCCCACCACTGTAACTGCAATATGAGGTCATGAACTGCAGATCTTATAGATCTATCAAGTCAGTGGAGGAGCAGATGTCTCTATACTCATTTCGCCTAAAGTAGTCTTGCAATTATTTTGGTCGGGCAGGTGTCTGACATATGAGAAAACCCATCACCATGCTTAAGACTCTCAAACTGAGAGTTCTATACATGCCATCTATGCATGGAAATTCTAGAGATATTTATTGGAATGGAATGCACATACTCTCCCTGGAGGGACACATCCTACTTACCTAATTCCAGAAAATATTACCTGCAGGTTGGCAAAGGCCAAGTGTGGGAACCCCAGAATGTACTTTGTGGTGCTGCTGGAGTCTAACCAGCTGAAATTGCATAGCTTCCCATTGAGAGCACTATCCGCCAAGCTTTTCCTCTGCTTGTCCAGTTAGGACCACTCTACTCATTAAGGGCTTTGGCTTGCAGGGATAACGGGAGCTGAATGAGAAGAGTCCCTGACCCAATTATTTCATGAACAGGTAAATTCAGCCCTTCTAAGTCCTGCGGATGAGCCAGGCTGGCTGTCCTGTCATCAGTAGCCCTTAAAGTAATGTGGACCTGCCTGGCTCAGGAACTGGACCTCTGAGACCGCGACCAAATGTGAGCTCGATTCCGACATTTGTTGCCAAACTATATCACCTTGGAGTCAGTCCAGCTCCAAGGAGACCCCACTTGCCTTTCCCCAAGAGGATCACCAAAGTAGTCTTGCTCGGCATACATAAGCTTACATAAGGAGAGGAGGGTGTGGGGGACAAGCAGGAAGCCGGTGCAAGTCGAGCGGAGGTGCCAGGGGGAGTGAGGAGGTCAGAGAGTCAAGGAGGTGCCAGAGAATTTGAATATCCTATGGTCTTGAGGCTAAGACTATGAGAAATCTCGTGGCTTCAGCCAAGTGTCCCGAATTACCATCAATATCGGTAATTGGGTGCATTAGAACACTGTATTTTCAATTCCAGGATCAGGGATTGAATCCATGCGGGACTGGTGGGCTGAAATTCGTAGAATTACATTCTCCTAATTTATCCTTTTATATCTGATTTTACAAAATCTGATGTAAATCCGAATCTGTGCAATGCCAACCCTGTTCCTAGTGATTGTAAGTTCACAGCCAAAAGAGTTCAGTATTTGTCATCACATTAACCATTCTGACTCAGGCAGATCATCATCAGAACTGGTGTACAACACAGCAATGTTCAGATTAGTGTAAGATCTCTGTGGCCATTGTAATACCTAAGGTATAAATTTAGAGCACATGGAGCTTCACTCCACACCCAACCACACACGCTACATCTGACATTAGGGATATGAACATGAAATGAACATAGGTAGCTTCATGCTCACATTACGATATCCAAATTCGAAAACTGTTCCTTTCTTCATGATTAATATCCGTTATGTTGGTGATAGAGTTCTGGCACTAATGCAACATCGTTGCTCAGATCCCAAATATCATGTGCAATTTTTTCTGGTGTCATCCTGTGGAATCAACCACTCTTGTATGGACACACCTCTGAATTCACCTTTGGAATAGAGGAGACTTATGAATTTTACTGATCGTATATCTAACCTTGTTCCTGACTTACTGTTGGTTGGCAAGGACTCTTAGTTCTGGGTCAGAAGGTTGTGGGTTCAAGCCTCACATTGAACTCAGTTAAGCTGACACTACACTGCAGTGTTGGCTGTTCTTCAGATGATTTATTAAACTGTCTGTGTTCATGATGTTATAGATCCCATGACACTATTCAAGAACAGAAAGAAGTTCCTCTCTATGTTGCAACCAACAAACCTCCAGATCAATTGGTTAGTCACTTTATGGCTGTTTGTGCAACTTTGCAGTACCAAAATTGGCTGCTGGGTTCAACTATGAAAATAGTTACTACACTTGACAGCAATGTCTTGTGAAGTGCTTGGAGATATTTCAACATTATAGGTGCCTATATGAAACGCAAGATGTTTTAAATTGTTATTACTGTCTCTTCTTCTCTGGTAAGAATTACTTTTTCAAGACATATTATGCACAACCACCACAGATGATGCATTTGTAGAATCTCTTTCTATTCATTCATTTGTGGTTATCTGATGCTATCCACGTTTGAAACAAGATTTGATTTCCCCATTCTTTTCAGAGGCTAATCTATTCAAGCTGTGAGAAAGCTGCTTTCCATTGTGTGGATTCCACCCAATTCTTTTGGGTTCGGTATCTTTATGTGTGTGGTCTGTGTACGTGTGTTTGGCTGGGGGAAAGAGCAGCAGTAACAAAACATACCTTACAGATATTGTTGTTTAAATTCCTTATTTGAAGTGCATTAACTTGACAATTTGACCTGCATATCTTTGTCCATTTCAAGTTTGGACTGAAAACTAAAAATGTCACCAGTTCTCATGCAATTACGTCTATTCAATTCCATGGTGTTAGGTTATTAAGAATAAAGGAGAAAGAATATGAATTAATGTTATTTATAATGCAAAAACATTGGGGGAAACAGGAGTGAGACACTGCCAAACTGACTGAATGTGACAGGCAGTGTCCTTACTTCTTTCCAATTCTATTATGGTTCAAGCACAACAAAGAGCTCAAGGCTCATTGCCCTGATGGTAAAGCCAGGCACTATGTGCCAGGCAGATTTGAGAAAAATCTTCAGTTGGATTCTGACTCCAAGGGATTCTGTTGTGTATGGTTTATTTGCTGCCCAGGGGAGACTAACAGACTGGGGCATTCAAGATCTTTCATCAAATTAATTACATTGCAAAAAATATATGACTTTAGTTTCTCACTGGACAGTTAATATAACCGTTGAAGTGATGGGAAGATTGCAAGTGTTTGCCAAGCAGTATTGTATATACCATTGGGGAGATTTGCATTCTCTTGCTGCTGGTATTGAACTCTCTTTCAATGAAAGAAAACAGAAAATGTTTGTTTTGTCTGCATTTTGCAGATTCAAATGTTATCCAATCATTAATACTAATATATATATTTATGTTCCAAAAATTACCTGTTAAGCTTTACTTTAGGAGAGTACCTTTGCAATGATAATCCAAACGAAATATAACATAAATAATTTTGCATTTTCACCTTGTTTCATCATACCGACTGTTTATACTGTACCTATTATATATTCCATTGCATTAAAAGATTTGTGTGCCTTTTGCATTTAATATCATGAGTCCTGAAAACACATCTAAAAGGAACACAAAAGCACAAAACAGAACTACTGTTCCACAGACATAGGTTAAAGATCGTGTTACATCACCTACTGGGGCTGCAAGCAACAGGTATTAATCTACTGCTCTTTTAAAAGAGACACGTTGGGCCGAATGGCCTCCTTCTGCGCTGTATAATTCAATGATACTATGATACTGGCTTAATTCTCCAAGGTAGAGCCTGAGTATCTCATAGCACTTTAGAGTCTCCAGGGCAAGCAACCCATAGATATTCAATCTAAAATCTTGACTGCATTTATCATGGGCACAAACATTGAGAAGGAATTATATTGTTACTGTGAATCTTAACTCCAAGAGGATGTGTGTGGGAGAGATATAAAACACTGTGTGTAACATTCAATCCAATTTTAGTAAATTGCCTCTCCAATTATACAAACCACTACATGCTACATTTTAAAACTATTTTTCTGATTATTCTCCTTGATGTGTTGTCTTATCAAACAGAACCAAAATGCGTTGCCCAAGTTATGCACCATATCTTCTTAAATATATAATATTTAACCTCCAGCTACTTTCCTAATTTACTTGGCTTATGTCATCATTATGTACTGTGAAAATGTGGTGCAAGTTGCGGTATTTCTTAATGGAATTTACAAATAAAATTCCCATTGATCCTCTCTAGAAGTAAATGAAGTCACAGCAGAGTTCTCATGGGTCGTTGTTACATACTTCCTGTTATTGGAATGAATCCCCAATTGCACAACTTGGATTTTTTAATTAAAAAACCTGGTTATTATATACTGAAAATTCAACCCCACTATCATAGGCTATCATAGCATTAATTGGGACCAGCAGCCCCATTACGGATAAGCAAATAGTGTGGATAATGGGGTATCACACAAAATATAAATTGGCCACAGACTTAACTAAAACAAATTATTCAATGAGAGATTGTAATGTAACTATTGTAGCTTTACCAGTTATTTTTTTCTGTTACTCACTCTGCCTCTGCTCTGCCTTTGTTTGCCAATGCTTTCTTGCTCTCTTACTCTGCCTTTGTCTCTTTGTAATATAGGAAGAAAAACAGTGAGTGACGTACTGCAATTACTATAATTACTAAAGTATGTTACTCTCTATCTCTCTCTAATAATTCCTTGAAACATTTAAATAATAATTAAAATTGGTCACTCAATCCACAGCTGTTTGTGGGACACTGCGGCGTGAAATTGGCTGCTGCATTTCACCCACAAATATGCAGTCAATTCACTTTACAGTATATTCTGTGAAGAGCTTTGAGACGTCTCCAAGACGTGATAAGGCTCTATATCAAATGCAAGGATTATTATTATCTCTCACTCTCTGAGTCTCTCCAAATCTCTCTCCATGACTTTCTCTGTATACCTTATTCTATAACATTACACTGTACCCATGTACACCCATCATATCATATACATATCATATATGTACCCACATTTAGGCTTACCTTCACACATGCGCACCACCAGATTGTTTTTGCCACGTCTTACAGTCCTGTGTCCTGGAGGCCAATGTGGATAAACAGACATATGCATAATTGGTGTGTGGATAACTCACATTTAATTGTACTGCTTTTAGTATTACGTAGAGGGTTGAATTTGATTTCTTACTTATGGACCTTATTTTCATTACATTTACTAAAAGACTTCTAATTTATTTTTTATACCGATTTACTTACTCTTGTGTTCTGTATGCTTCTCCCCATACATATTGGTCCGTGAACTGTTTAAGCGTTTCATTTCCTCAGCTATTATGTTTCCCTGTCGTGTTTGTCATTTGTTTTAATAGTAATTGCATTACATCACTCACTGTTTTCTTTCCTATGTTACAAAAAAATCTAATTATTATTTACATGTGAGTAACCTAATTTCTTTGAACAAGTATCATGATGATGCGTAAAGGCATCCATGTAAGTGCAGGACGTCCTTTGCCTCAAGTGGTGTCTGAAAGTAAGATTGGCATGTAATAGTGGAAAACTCTTAAAATGAACTCTCAGTGCCATATTTGTCTGGTCCCTATCCCTTGACACCCCTCCTTGGAACAGCTGAATGATGAGCGTTGGATTGGGCTGAGCAGTGATCCTCTCCCATAATGCTGACTGCTTAGGCTCACAGTGAAGATGGCTATTTAATCAAAAGAAAGGGAGAGTGATTGCAACCCATGACTTTAAGTCTGACTCTTCAAGCAATAACTCTAAATATGGAAGGATACCACTGCTGAGAGCGATCACAAGCCATGAAACTCTCATAAGTCAGCATCATCAGGAGAGACTGGCAAATGGAAGAAAATTATAGGAATCATCTCAGACTGATACTTTTAAGTCCAGCATGTGTGAGCAGATTGCCTCTGTGCAATATTTATACAATACAAATAACCATTTTTAAACAAAAGATTCTGCAATTGGGATATTTTCAGTAGGGCTATCTTGGAGTTATTTCTTGAAGTGTCAGACTGGCTCAGTACTCTGATTCAAGCCTAACGTCGGGATTTTGAACTCACAAGTTTAGGCTGACACTGCAATGCAATGCTGGATTGTCAGAGGTACTGTCTTTCAGATGAGACTTTAAACCAAGGTCCTGTCTGCCTGCTCAGGTGAATATTAAAGATCCCATGGCAAGCTTCAGAGGTTTCTGCTGTAGTAGGCTGGTTTCACATGTAGGGTAGAGGACTTTAAGCAGCTGTGCTAGCTGACTTTGAAGAGTTGGAATAAAGTTTGAATGCATCCTTATGTTAAAAGTAAACTCCTAGGGCAAACTGATTCCATTGCAATCCCAGCAGACATGGTTCGAATGGCCATATGGGATGTTTTTATTATGATACTGCTCTCACGTCTCATGGCATTCAGAGGTTAGAACCTTTTTCAGCTCCACTGTTCATTCTCTGTCACATGCTGCGAAGAGGATAAAGTGATTCCAGATGTGTTTTTATTGTCGAGGAAGGCTTTTGGGACTGTTATACTTCATGTTTGATGCATGCTTTGTGGGTCCAGTGGGAGCAGTTTTGGTAACTTGACAGATCGCAAAGTGTTGAACGGTTTTCTGTCTCATCCTTTAACTTTGAGTCCAATACTGGGTTTATACTGGGCCTCAGGTGACAGAGCACACTTTGCAAATCTCTGGGATTTTGTTCTACGTATGCACGGAATGTTTGATGATATTATAGTTTCTAAGTGGAATGCCTGATGTTGATCGCTCCCTCCTATTACCTAACTTGGAATTGCAACATATCCCCCACCCTTTCCACTTCACAATTGGTGGCTGAACTGTGCCCTAATCTCTGGATCTCCTTTCCTAGACATGTCCGTCTCATTACTCCCCTCAATCTGTCTTTAAGTCCTGTCTTAAAACCTACATCTTTGACCGTGTCTCAGTCGATGTCCACCCCGCCACTGTAAAGCATTACAAGCCATTATTCTACATGAAGGGCACTATGTATCACCACTTCATTATTTCAGCTTGAAGTCAGGAATGCAGTCTCTTGCCAACATGCTGTGTAATGGCAGGCACGTTGTGGAACAGCAGATATACAGTGTAATGGCAGACACGTTGTGTAATGGCAGACTTATTGTATACTGGCAGACACAGTGTGTAATTGCAGATACGTTGCACATGTGTAAATATATGTTATGAAATTCCATGTTTGTACTTGCCATCCTTTAGTAAGGACTAAAAAGCCAAATAGAAGCACTGGCGGTTACTTTTTTCTGCACCCACACTTTTCGCTTTGCCTCCGTATTCACAAAATGATTAAAGATAAAGAACATAACGATCAATCAAGTCAGTGTGTATGAAAAGGAGGATGTGGGAAAGAGCAACACCAGAACAGAATAAGGGAGAATTTGACAAGTGTTTGCAGCATTAATGGTGGCCGGACGACCTTATTTTGGTAACAACGATAGAAAAATAAAGTTCTAAAGTTTGTTTTGCACATGGGCAGATGGAGCACTATTCAAAAAGAGAAGAGTTTCTCCTAGGGTCCTGACCAACAATCCCCCAGATAAAATTCATCACTCATTCCACGGCTATTTGTGGAGCATGGCTGTGAGCAAATTCCCTGGCAAAATACACAGTTACTACAATTTACAGTACTTCCTGTGAAGCACTTTGAGACATCTTCCTGAGATGAAAGGTGCTATATCAAATATTAGAATAAATTATTTATTATTTATAATGCAGTGCTGCTACGATATTTGGCCTTTTTATAATATGGATTGCTGGCCAAGGTGGGCTTGACTCCATACTGTACGAGTGACCCAAAAGCTGGTAACTAGTTAGATAAGCAAACGATTAAAGGATGATCTGCTGAGTCCATATTAGACCAATTGTGTATCCATGAGTTGCCTCTAGGACTATTTGCACTGCAATAACTACCTAGGATTAAAGCACACATGAATCAATCAAGACACTATTTATAAAAAGAGGAGGTAGGAAATAGCCAATATCATAGAATCTGGGCGAATAATTGCATTGCAAGTTATGAACGCTGGAATTTTCACCGCCATGGTTCAAAAAACTGGAGGGCTGACCTTGGTTTCGGACAAGTTAAGATTCTCTTGTTCCATGAAGACAATGATAAATGACACAAACCAAGTCAGGGGCTCTTTATAGATATAATCACTATTGCAAACAGTCTGATCTGTTCTGGTGGTGATGAGAAATGGTCCAGATTACTTATGGAATGACATAGGTTCTCTGAAATCTCGATAGTGAGAGATGTTCAGATACACGATATACCCATCAGAAAGATATATACTTCAGTGCATTCACTCTGTCCCCAGGAAGTCATCTATCACAGAATGAATGCACCTACTGATGCTGAAATGGTTGATAACAGATTCATCACTGGTCAACACTGAAAACTTAGTCTAAAGCTCTCTTTGAGAATGGAAACAATAACAACAACAAGATTACATTTGTATAGCGCCTTTCACACTGGGAGGATGTCCCGAAACTTCTCCCAGACTAGTGCAATTGAATTCTCTTATTCACAAGGCGGGAATGAAAACAAAATTAAATGTTGAAATTACTCAATGTGATTTTATTCTGGTTTATTTGTATGTTCTCCCAAATACTTGATGTAGAATCATAGAATTATGAGGAGGCCATTTGGCCCATCGTGTCTGTGTCGGCTCTTTTAAAAGAACTATCCAAATCAATCCCACTCCTCCACTCTCTCCCCATAGGCCTGCAAACCTGTCCTCCCCAAATAATTATCTACTTCTCTCTTAAAAGTTGTTATCGAATTGGCCAGTTGCAAAGTTATTTAAGCGCTATTTTTGTTCTCAGAGAATGGACACGGGCACTGGTTCTTTATTTCATGACATGCACCTGCAGCTTCTCTTCCTACTCTTCCCATTAAAGAGTTCCTCTCTCATACTTGCTGTACAGGCATGAGATTTAGCAGGTTCAGAGGTTGAAAATGTAAGAATATTTTGAAAGTTGAATCTAAAGAGCTGATCCCACTGGGTGGCATAAGGCTCCATTGGCATTCGCTTCCACCCTATCAAACTGGATTGCCACAGGTATATGGAGGAATAATTCCACCTCAATTCAATAAATCATCGCCCCTATTTTTCTAACTGTGGCTGCCTCCTGCCCAATTGGAGATGGCTATACAAGGTGTCATGCTATTTAGTCCCTTTGCCCACATGCACCAACGTTCTTGTAACAGAGACCAAAACCCTAATGTTCCAAATTTCCCTAGCATCTCCTTAATCTTGCAATTTGGGGCTCACCTTTATCTTCACCACCATGGTGAAAATCCAAATCATGCTGACATTAAAACTGACAGCTCTGTCTGCTTACAGCTTCTGCTGCCGGCACAGTTTGATTTAAAATAGCTATTACGTTACAATGAAATTTTAAGAGCTTGTTATATAATGAAAGCCACTGTATCCTTCATGACCTGTCACTGTGACTGATGGCACTTCACTGGCTTAATTTATCCCAGGCTGGCTTGTCTGTAACTCGCGCTTATTTCTACCCACCGGCTTCTGCCTTTTGTTGTTTCTCGATTTTCTCCAGTCTTCCCAGCAAGAAGTCAATTTTGTTTTTGATTTGGGTCAGTTCCTTCTTGATTGTCTGCAGCTCATCTGATTTCACTGGGGAGAGAGGGAGAGAGATAGAGAACGTTGAAAATGCAGTCAATTTTGTCTCCAGTTCAAATAAAACCAGTATCCGTTTTCTCATTTGGCAAAACAATTCGAAAAAAATCTTATCACCAATGGGTCCTCTTGTAATTTGCATTTCATATCTACCCTTCCTGATCCAAATCTATATGTGAATCTCACACCAGCTCCTTGCTTCTTCTATGGAAATGCAAAGGAGTACTTGAGATGACAAAAACATGATTAAATGTATCAGATGTAAATATTATTGGCAATTATGAGAAACAGCTCATTTGGAAATCACCTGCTGTGTTTGACTACCATGGGTTTACAGCAGGTAAGTTTCTTTAGAAAATTGGGGAACAAGTGCAATACGCAAGGATTTGTTACCACTTCATTTTCAAAACAACAACAAAATCACATTTAGAGAGCGCCTTTCACATTGGGAGGACATCCCAAGGCGCTGGCCAGTCAGGGGTCAGGACCCGAGCTTGAGGGAGGGGTGGGGTAGAGGGAGGATTGAGTGGTCCACAGTATCAAAGGCGGCGGAGAGATCGAGGAGGACGAGGAGGCAGAGGGAGCTCTGGTCACACATGGTCAGGATGTCATTTGTGACCTTGACCAGAGCAAAAGAGTCAGATGCATTGAAATCTGGATGTGGGGTATTAAAGTCATTTATATTTAAATATATTTTATTTCTTATCATTTTCAACAGGTCGAAAGTCCCAGCAAGCAGTCTACGCATATTAAGTGCACTGACAATGTTTGCTCCATGTAATTGCTCATTAAGACAATGGGAAATGAACTGCACCAGTGGGAAGAGATGCTGCCCAGGGCCACACACCAATTTGTTGCACAGCACACACTAAGTAGCACATCAACTTCTAATCACATTTTTACATTTAACATCTATAAAGACCAAAACCAACTGGACTTATTTACACTCTCCCATTAGGCAGTCTTCCTTAGGCCTAAACCATTTTCGATGTTAATTGGGAAATTACAGCTGGCTGAATGTGAGCCACTGACCATTTAATATTACCGCACTATAATTTTTTTAGAAAACAAACATTTTGTGCAGTAAAGTGAAGAGCTGAACAGCTAATTGCCCCAGCAAACAGTACACGCAAATTTAAATGCACGCTATAAAAATATTTCACACAACTTAATTGACCTAACTATTGAAGGAGAAAAAAAGGGACTTAATTTTCCAGATTTATTCAAAATAACGACCTCTGAATATTTATTCTTCCGTTACAACTCGAGGGATTGTAAGGCTATTTATAAACACAGTTAGTGGCAAAAGCTCAATGCAAGGAACATTAACCACAACTCGGGATGTCAGTAAGTCTAATTGTCAGATGTCAAGTGCATTTCCTACCACAAAATAAGCTGTTTGTGCAATTTGAATTGCAAAATTCAAATGACATCATTAATTCTTACCCTAAAGCAATAACATCCATTGAAATGGTTCCTCCTTTGATACTTTTAGATAGATGTCTCACATGTGTGATGCCTACATTGCTCTAACTGTGTTTAGCAATGTGTTGTGTTTGTGTGTGACCTTACAACAGAAGATCAAACTTGTTTGATGGGCTAACTTGCTTGATGGGCTGGTGCAATTGTATAGCTGCACTGAATAACAATGAACACTTTAAAATTTATTAATATTATATTATCATTAGTTATTATTATTTCATTAATTAATATGATTAAGATTATTATTATTTAATTATTATTAGGATTATTATTACTCAATTAAGATAGGAAAATTAAATGAACATTATCATCCGATAACCTATATTATAAGAAGATGTGCCAGTTTGTCAATAGAGGAATGATCGATAACAACAACAAAATTGTATTTGTATAGCGTCTTTCATGTCAGGAGGCTGTTTTTGACGGGGTGGGATCAGTGCCAGTGGACAGGGAGAATTTTATGATGTCTGTGAGTAGGGGGGGCAAGGAGGTGGAGCTGGGAGGTAAGGAGAAGGGTAGGGATGGTGTTGAGGGAGCAGGTGGTCGGTTTCATCAATAATAATCAATTATGCATCAATAATAGATTGATGGCATAGCACCAACAATTATGCCTGGCACTAATTTTGTTCTAGAACATTTATTTTGTCTTAATGATAAAATGTGAGCTCATACTATAAAGTTATTGCTGAACCATTCCCACCTCAGCACAACCTTTTCTCAGTGATCATAATAATAATAATAATAATAATAATCCTTGCATTTGATTTAGCGCTTTTCACATCGGGAGGACGTCCCAAAGCGCTTCACATAACACACTGTAAAGTGAATTGACTGTATATTTGTGGGCGAACGCGGCAGCCAATTGCGCATAGCAATGTCCCACAAACAGTCGTAGATTGAAAATGATCAATTTATTATTGTTTTTGGTTTTGGAGGGATTATTATTAGGCGTGTGGAGTAAGGAAACTTGCCCAAGGTTTCGCCCTGCCTGGAATTGAACTCAGGTCTGTCACTTGCAAAGCGAGTGCTCTAAGGATAGGAAGAAACATTTGCTCCTTTTTCATCTTCGTGTGAAGCATAAGGTTTTCCCAGTGCCCCCACGCACCCAGCCCAAGTGGCCATTATTCATTGACGAGACCTAAGGGTGAGTGTCCACTGAGGGCAGTAAAGCAGATAAACCAGACATTGTCCTTATGAGAGACCTCCGGCTCTGAAGCACTAGTCTGCGAGGGTGCTATACCACTGCAAGTTGTTGTTGTTGTTGGAGAGGAATCAACAATCATCACTTGTCTTATATTCCTTTGTCTAAACCATTGCACTGAAGCCAATTGTACTGCCTTTATTTGAGTGAGATCAACTACCACGCCAACAACAACAACAAAATTACATTTGTGTAGCGCCTTTCACGTCGGGAGGACATCCCAGGCGCTGGACAGACAGAGTTACGGACCCAGATTGAGGATCACATTTGGGGACTTGTTAATCTTATGGCCCGGTTAATTGACGAAAAAATCTGCTGAGCCATCGTAGCAGCTTATCAATTTATGGACAGAAAGCTTTCGACAACATGAGTCAATGCTATTTACCAAGCACTAAAAGCAGCGATGGGTGTATCTTTATAGCAGGATACTTGTGTGTTTCTAACAGGATGTTTATTATTTGTTTACAATTGGAGAACTAATGTCACCTCTATTGGTAAGATAAGGATCAGTATTTTGTTACTCATTTTACACTGTTCATTCGACATTTAAATCTGCAGAATAAATAAAAATTGTTATGGAACTTGTATAATTCATTTAGATGTGTGCGACTGGGGCTACCCATTCCCAGATTTGTGTCAGTTAATCTTGTACAAATTATACTTTTAAATGATTTGTCTCTATGCCAGTGTCAATTTCTATAAGTGCCTTTTCAATATTTATAATATAACTGGCTATTAAATAAAATGACATTTTCTCGTACATATCATGGCCAACAATCCCCCTTAATCACTTACTTCATGTGTGCAAATTGGCTGCTGTGTTTGCCTAAAAATACAGTTACGGTACTTTATGGTATATACTGTGAAGTGCTTTGGGATGTGCTCCTGATGTAAAAGGTGCTTTATGAAATGTAAGGCTTATTATTTATTATCATATTTTGCATTACATTTATTCAAATAAAGCACCTAGTGATAAGTTGCTTGAGGTAAAATGTATTGGGCATGTGAGTTAGGGGTTTCCACAACTCACTGGTGCTTATGAACTGTCTTGGCTCCTTGGCTTTTGGAATAAATTGTAGATTGTCAGCTTGTCATCAAGTATCCTTCAAATAATAAAACAATCAAAACGTTTTTGACTTGCCTGCGTTTTAATAACATAAAAAATCCGTCCAAAAATTTCAAAACGGCTCAAGTAATAAATAATAAAATCTGATTTCTTGTCACTGAAAATCTGCAAGACTGAGATTATGAAGGATTGGTCAAGATGTTCATTGAATTCTGTTATCATTAAAGATCATTGTACTGCTATTGGAGCAATAACACAGTGTAACGTAAACCAATTCATGGTTTACGTTACACCAAGTCAATGAATGATTGAGAAGTTTTTGTGCACTGGGCGTTCCATTTAGCAAGTTCTTTGTTGTTGGCAAAGTCCTATTCTGCGCTATTAGGTAAGGTTAGCAAATTCTGGAATTCCAACTTCAAATCATAAATAATATGACATTATTAATACCTCATCAAATTATACTTAAAAATAATCCTTGCAGGTGATATAGTGCCTTATCACGTCATCAAGATGTCTAAAGCGCTTCACAGCATTTTACTGTAAAGTGTAGTGACTGTGTATTTGTAGGCAAACACAGCAGTCAATTTGTGCACAGCAATGTCCCATGTAGTGAATAATCAATTTTTTCTAGAGACTGTTGTCCAGGACAATGGGAGAAACTCCCTTCTCTTTTCAAATAGTGCCATGAGATCTTTAACATCCATCTGAACAAGTAGATGGGACCTCGGTTTAATGTCTCATTCAAAGGACAGCACTCCCAGCACTGCATTGGAACGTCAACATAGACTATATGCGTTCCAAATGCAGATGTGGGGCTTGATTACATTTTAGGTTAGGATATCTTTATAAGGCCACAAAGATAAATTGGTTAAAATTCTCAAACAGAGCAAATATCACTTGGCTGTTACTAAGAAACTGTAAAGAATAGCATAGAATAGAAGAATAGTAAATAGTCCACCATTGATTAGCAAATGGGAAAAAAAGCTTTTATTGCTGGGATCGTTTAATGGAACAGATGTGCACCATTTATGTCCCAATATAATCACATGGTGTGTTGTTGCAAAGATCCGGCCAAAAAGGTCTGAGGTGTGCTTTATGCTAATACAGTGGATCGCCCTTTAAAATCGAGACTGGAAATTTATTCTGACTGTGATTCAAGCATGAATATATATTATATATATAGGCTTGTTGTCAATCTTGGAAACTTGTATTCCATTCATATTCACTTGTAAGAAACCAAGCTAAGTATTGAGAAACTGTTAATTTTCAATCCACAGCAACAGAGAGCTCCAGTCTGATTCCAATCTGCTCTACATAAAAACATTTCCCTTATTAAAATTCTATGGAAATGGTTCTTGGGGAGATTCATGCATTTCAATTAAGGTTTATCTTTAAGATACTATGTGTGCTGATTAGAGTTGCTCGAGGCCACAGAGGATGTTTACCATTTTCTTTTGTAAATTAAATCTTTTAGGAACATTTGTGTCTTGTCAACAATGGTAATGGTTTATTTTTGACTAACGTGTGTTGCACAGGGAGGATGCTTAAATGTCAATGAAAATTTCCAAATTAGCATGAACCAGACAGTTCGCACCACAGGCAGTGGATTGAGAGCTTGTCCCTCTCTCTCTGTCTCTCTCTTTGAATCTCTCTCTCATGTCTGGTTGGTACAGTATTGTGCACTGCTTGTGTATGTGTGTATGTAATAATAATAATAATAATAATCCTTGCATTTGATATAGCGCTTTTCACGTCGGGAGGACGTCCCAAAGCGCTTCACAGACCACACTGTAAAGTGAATTGACTGTATATTTGTGGGCGAACGCGGCAGCCAATTGCGCACAGCAATGTCCCACAAACAGTTGTAGATTGAAAATGACCAATTTATTATTGTTTTGGTTTTGGAGGGATTATTATTAGGCTCTGTGTGGAGTAAGGAAACTTGCCCAAGGTTTCGCCCTCTGCCTGGAATTGAACTCAGGTTTCTCGCTTGCAAAGCGAGTGCTCTAACCACTGAGCTACAGGACTCCATGTGTTTGTGCGTTGGGGAGTGAGAGAGGCAGAGGTGAAGGAGACAATCAATAAAAGAAAGAAAAATACTTTCCAGTTGTAATTCAGCTACTGTGATGAATTAAAACTGCATGACCATTATTTCAATCCCAAAAGCAGTAACTGACTGCTTTAACCTCTTGTAACCTAACAGGTGAACTCCATTTTGTTCTTTTCGTTGGTGTTCTCCGTCTTGTATGAAATCAAAAACCTTACCCTAGCTTTACCACTCGATGCTCCAAGCACTTAGTGTGGAAAGGTGTGGAATCATTTATATGTCCTTATCCAAGACAGAGGCAAAAAGCATCTGGATAGATGTGGGAGGCAGCTCACCTCAATATTAATAAGTTAAACTGCCTGGGCTTACATTTCTGTTTCAGCAGATCATATGCTTTTGTCTCAATTATAAGCTTGATGAGGAACGAAGGAGTAAGACAGGGTGTAGTGCACTTTATGAGGAAGTTTCAGTATGTTCTGCATTGCCCACTGACTGTACACCCATCAGTCACGATTATAACATATTACCAAAACACAGTCATTTCTCTCAGTGACTTACATTTTGGTCCTGCTGTAGCTGTTCCTGTGATGGTCGAGCGCGGACCTCCTTTCATGGGGAAGCCGCCCTTTCCCCTGCGGGTGACCGGTATCGTGACTCGGGGTCGCTTTATGGGTATAACTGCACGAGGAGGAGGTGGCACCCGGCCATGGTAATCAAACATCCTGAAAGACAAGAAACCATTGATGTTTAAAGCTTGAAACATGATCCCTGTTTTTCTCAGATATCTAAAACAGCAAACGTGGGATAAAACCCTGGATTAGGAAGGAAGAAAATTAAAGAAATCCCAGAACCAGCCCTGGCTTAGCTCTCTCATAGACCAGGGACAACGTCAAGTGCTAGGATTGCAGACCATGAAAATGTTACCCCATCACTGACTCCATTTCATTCATTTAATCTCCAAGGGTAAATTCTGAAACTCCATCCCCCAGTGCCTTCGCTTTGTTTCCTCCCTTTCCTCCTTCAAGGCCGGTCTCAAGACCTTTCTCTTCAACCGTGCCTTCAGCTCCCCTCTCGGCTCTCTACCCCCTCCTCACTCCCTCCCCTCACCCTGACCAGTTCCCCCATGCTCGGGTCCCGACCCAACTGTACAGCTCCTTGGGACGTCCTCCCGACGTGAAAGGCGCTCTATAAATGCAATATTGTTGTTGTTGTTGTTGTAAATGTACACACTGGCTACTGAGGTTAACAAGCAAAACCTCAGCAGATTCACCTTCCTTCACACCTCCACTATTGATCTCTAGACTGACCCTTCTCCTCCCACCCACTCACTACTTCTCCTCCGTAGTAGTAGTACTACAGGTACCACCAAGTGTTGTGAGTGTTTCATCATTTGACGTACGTTTGCACATTAATGGAACAGGTTATCAGAAAGAGTGGAAAGGGCCAGGACCCTGGATTTATTGAAGGACCAGTTTCATGCTGTAAAGGTAAAATGTTCCCTCTGTTCCACCATCAGTAGCCGCACTTTCAGCCACTACACTCTGAAACCCTGGAATCTCTCCGTCAATCCTTCTACCTTGCCCCCTCCTTCCCCGTCTTTAGGTTGTGCCTGAAGACTCTCCTCTTTGACTGCTTGTGATCACCTTCCACCTTCCTTTGGAATTGTGCTCCCCCACTGTCAAGCACTCTGGGACACTATCCTGCTTGAGGAGCGATATATAAATCTAAATCATTGTGTTGTTGAAGTGGGTTTGATTATTCTGCGCAGATGAAATCATATGGGCTCAAATCTCAAGATCTCCACACAATCTCCAGATGCAGCTTATAAATCATCTTTCATAAACTGGTAAAAAAAATTATATAATATGAATATTATTTGGATAAAGAGAGTTGGATAACATTCAACCACAGGATTTTTCACATAGTGAAGTGAAGGGAGGATGCCCATGTTGGAGCAGAGTGAGGCTGTGGGATGATCCAGGAAGAACAGGAGGTGATGATGGCAGGAGGAAAGGAGGAAAGAAGGGGGTATTGAAGTATGCGGAGTGGAGCGTGAGGTGTGTGGGGCATGGTGGCTAGAAGGAGGATGGTTGGGGAAGTATGGTATGGGAGAGGGGATTAAGAGGCTGGAGGCTCTTGTGAAGTATGAACACTGGCACGGACTAGTTAGGCCAAATGGCATGTTTCCGTGCTGTAACATTTAATGTAATTCTATCTAAATTCACACCCTCCCAGCTCAGAAATAGTCTGCAAGCAGAAGTCAGCAATTTGCTGCCTGGTTGCAGTTTGAATGTCCTTATTTTAGTAAATACCCCACTTTTACTAACACTGAATTTTCCAGCTCTCCCTCTAATACTGTCTTCGTTGCTGGGATAAGAACCCAGGTATAGTATTGAATCATCTGTCAAAATAATCAGCCATGTGACACTGATTCAAAGAGAGACAGGATCTCCCCCCCCACCCACACACAACATCAAACTGCTCACCCACAATCAGATGGTTTGATATCAGTCTAATTTTCCAATTGAACTGTTCCATTCAGAGCAAAGCATTGGTGTTAACTGTAGGTTTTGTAACATGCTGTGCTATCGATAGGGAATGTTTTATACACAATGTCTTGTACGGAAAAGCTCCTGAGTGCAGATGTACAAGGCAAGGCTGTTGCTTCCTTCCAGGATGGAAGGCAAGATTAGCCAGAATGTAATCCCAGGAGTTACTGCTGTATTGATGGAAGAATGGCTCCGTGGTACAGGGAGATTGGATAGAATAGATGCAAAAATTGTTGAGAAAATAACAAACATTCTGGTCACAAACCCAAATGCTAAATGTTCAGAAACGCTGGATCATTTCTTATTTGTAGTTTTGCCAACTCTTCTGTTGACCTTTGTAGCCAACTGTCTGGAAACAATTTCTGACTCACGGCTCTGGTCTGGAAAGCTTGATTTGATCAAATTCCAGAGAAAATACAAGAATGGAGAGCTTGGGAGGAGCAACTGATTAAAAATCATATTATTCATGTTAAGACTGAAAGAGATAAATTATTACCCAGCACTGAAAAAGTTATTACCCAGCAACTTTCCCTTCCCTAAGAAACACTCATATGCTCTAGTGGAGCCTAGCTTGACTTTTTGAAACTCAGACTGTAATCATTAAAGACAAGGGTAGGAAGTAGGTCAGTTATTGAGCTGAAACAAATACTAATGCCAGTTGGACACATTCTCTGTAAAAGGTGGGACAGAAGTGTCACCTCCTATCAGATAGATTTTTCTACTTGAGGTTTGGAGAATAGGACAGCTGTAAGGCTTGTTATATCCTGGTAAGGGTTTAACTCTTTCACGATGCAATCAAATAGGCTTAAACTCGAGTCATCGTAAGCATATGGATTCAGAAAGTGCTCAAAACAGGAAAAAACGCAGCATAAATGGCACAATGTCTTGGAAGGTGTTTTGTGATGCAAAGTGTGTCTCCTGCAGGGAACTCAGCAATTATGAGACCGATGTTCTAACCCGAGGTCACCACAGAGCAATGTTCTCGCAAATCAGCGTGACATGCATGAGCTTTGCTGCATAAGACGCACTATACGTCTCAAAGTTCTTTTTCCAGGGTGAAGTGCCAATTACGCTTGTATTTTCCCATTTGACTACTTTTTCAGCCTCATACATTGTACCGCAGACAAACCTGAGAAGCAAAATCTCCAAATCACATTTTGTTTTGCAGTCATTTTTGGCTTTTACTTTTCATTGACTCAGCCTTGTGAATAAACAAGCAGTGGTTGTCGTTGAGCATTATTTCCCCAGTACTTTATGAGGTTCTTTGGGGAGAAATTCTGGGAAATATCATTCTTAATAGACCACTGAGCCAAGGGACGAACAAATATATGGTCCAAAGACCAGAGACAGACAGGGTATGCAATCCAACAAATACTCCATTCTAACTTGCAGTCACTTTCACTGTCTGATTCATTCAACAACCTCACACATCCATGGCATCCTGTAGATAAAATGGGGAATAAAAAGGATACAATTGTAAACAAAACCCAATTTCAAGCAATTTCAACCTTTAAAAGAAAATGTAATACAGGCACACAGGAATGAAAGAACATTGCAATGGGTTTGGCTGGTTCCCCACCCCCCAAACAATCATCTAGTACAATGCTGTTTAACCGCACGCCGACATTATAATGCACCTGGCCAGTCTTCCTCTCAAATCCCATCTCTCTCTCTACCTCACCTAGCCTTCGCTATTAAAGTCTACCTAATTCCCACTTGAAATTGTCCAAAATGATAATGAAAATATTCTAGTGTCTTTGTCTAAGAGATTGTGGAACCGTTCCTTTTTTGAGAAAAAATAACCTTTTGAAATGCACCCTTCAACCATACTTTCAAATTTCCCACCGTCTTCTGAGGAGTTAACACTAAATAAACATGGAACACAGAGACTCAGTGGATTTATGATGGTTCAATGGTTACTATTTCTGATTGAGAGAAAAGTGTGGAATGGAGGCAGACATCTGGGGCAAAAAGAAAGCTTCAGTGACTCATGTTGCTGCTTCTTGCTATAAGTTCACAAATCCTTTCCAGTAAATTCTGTCTCAATTTAAACTCCTTGGTGCTAGGGAACTTTATCAATAAATGATACAAGAAGAGTTTATCTCAGAAATGGGGACATGGGTAGCTATAACACAAATAGCCATGGTTACAGGTACACGCTAAATATTACATTCATTTATTTACCTTCAGACAAATTCCATCATTCTATTATTGCACTCACATTATATTACTACCTTGCCTATATATGGAAGCTTCAGCCTTACTCCCATGGTTCACATAGATGCAGATGCAGTTAATAGCATAAAAATAAGTGTACTTTGAGAGAAAATTATACACTTGTAAAAAAGCTTCTAAATATCATAAATGTATATACCATAAAATATTATTTTTATAGGCGATATTAAGAGTGTCTTTCAACTAAGATTGGGTTGAAATTTCATGTTGGACGATGCAATCTGGCTTATTGCTTGTATTACTAATACAGAGACCTGCTACATCTGATTTTGTTAAGTTTCTTTATTACTGGAATAATCAAACTCGCCTTGCCAGAGGCAGACACAAACTATTCACATGTGGAACAGCACCTGGTACACAGACATAAAGAAGTGTAATAACGACTGATCTGTAATTTCACAAATCCGCGGCCAAAATCTAATACCACTGATTCATTATGGCTGCAATCGCAGCACACAGTGTTACCATAAACTGTACACATTTATGTGTGAGGCAACCTTCAAACTGCAATTCTTGCCAATGTTTGTATGTAGCCCTGTGAAAGCAGGTGGATTATTGTTGAGCAGAGAAACTGGAGTATCAACGGCAAACATTCAAGATCAAACAGATGAATATGAATGTTGTGAAGATTGGCCAGTTTACATAAGAACATACAAAATGCTAGACGAGAAAAGACCAAGGCCCATCTAGTCCCCTTTTGCCTTCCTTGCGGTTGCATGCATATATGTCCCAAACTATCTATGTACTATATCCCATAATGTTATTTCCTAAAAGAAAATTATCTAAACCTGTATTTGAAAGAATCAACATTTCAGTTTGTGTCTACACGTGTCAAAGATGCTCTGTGCCTCCGTCAAAGCTTCTGCTGACCTTTGATGCAGGTTTCTGGTTCTAGTTAACAGTGGTCTAAAGAGACGATCAGGGTTGACAACACACAG